GATGTAATATTTTAGAACACTATTTTTGTCGCCCTCCCAAGGACGTTTCCATCGCGGACAAATAAACTTGATTTCGAATGCTGGTCCTATAAATTTTCCTCATTTGTTCAATGGAAAACTGCAATATACATTAAATTATTATTTGGAAAGCAACATGTTTCTTGATAAATTGAATTTCGTAGCAACCCTTTTGGCATTTATCATTTTAGTTTCATATTTTTGACCCTTTTATCAACCCGTTCAACAGACCGTTTCACAGACTGAACTGCTCCGGGAAACAACTATCACTTACGACAGGTCGGTACAACCAGATGTATCTCTACACAGCTCGGATATATAGAACTACGTTCAGAATCAAATTATTACTAAATGGAAAGGCATACGCCGGTTGTTGGCAACGACTATGAAATCTGGCGTAGCTACCAGAAACAAGTGTTTATTTTATATCCAGCACAGAATAAAGAGTGTTCAATTCTAATAAGATATAAGGACAGAAATAAGCGTTGCGCCTTCCGTGAGAGATGTGGAATGGAACGCTTCTACGAAGAAAACTCGATTGGTGAAAAATAAACATTTATTATTGTGCTCGTTTTGTACAACTGTACCAAAATCACTTTCTTGCGCTCAACGTTATTTTCTGCTATTTTTCATAACGTGCTGCTCTCTATGTAATCCCTACTTTCTCCTTCAATAAATACTCGAACATGGATTTATTTCTTATTTACGTGACCGGACAGTATGGAGCATTTGGCGGTGATCATAGCCAATCTCGACTCGATCACCACTAACGATGAATGGTGAAATATTGATAGAGGACTAAGGCTTGAGGCAGCAAAATATCCGTCATAAAAACATTTGGGAAGCGAAAGTTTACCTATAATTCCGGTCGGAATACTTCAATTAGCTAGGATTTCTTCATGGCAGATGTATCTTTGTCTGTTATTGGTATTGATTTCTTAAATAATTTTGAATTTTTTATAAATTATCAACAAACCGGCTCTTGAACGGCGACCATACAGTGATGATAAAAGCAATAATCAACGTATATCGACGTAGAGATTTAGTAGCATGAAAGACCATTTTAATGAATAAGCGGATGCATTATACGGAACGATGTTAAATGCCCGCACTCAATTTGAAGTCGATTCTCAAAAAATTAGCATCTTAGCAAAATTTGGCTTTTCGTTTCTAATTATGGAGTGCCTGATTATGTTACGAGTTCGGTTAGAAAGTCACCTCTTCCAACAACTTACCGAGCTCCCCAGACTCAACGGTATTCGCACAAAATCCTACCAACGATGGAAAATGGTACGATGGAAGGATGACATCGACAACTTAAAGCCTCTCTCACAGCTGTGATTAGTAATAATGATTAGGTAACTAAGCTTCCATTAGTCATGCTTATTTTGACATCAACAATTAAACATGGTTTACAATGTCGCTCAGCCGAGTTGATTGACGGAACTACTCAACGTCTTCCAGGAGACTTTCGACCTCAGATAAAAGTGTTGCAACTTACATGGCCAACTATGTACAACGTCTGAAGAAGCATATAAGTGGTCTGAGAATAACAATTGCGAGGGGGCATCAACATTGGTTGTGCATACCAAAATAACTAAGCGACAGTAAGCATGTGCTTTTCCGAAGCAATGATGTTCAGCGTTTCTTACAACCGACCTCGGATGGTCCATTTACAGTGATTAGAAAAAGCGGAAACCTGTTGCGATAGCTAAATTGTTTGGGACGTTAGATCCCCAGAACTCACTTGATAAAGTGCAGTGCCTCCATATACATTTGAGTTCTCTTATATTTAATGTTGTTAAGGCTTTTGATTACCTTATTTAACCAAGCCATTTGTATAGCAACAACTTATATGTACCATTGATTTTATTATTATCCGGTTAGTATGAGCAGGTACGACTAAACATTGCCCATCTCAAATAAGTGAACCCGACGACAAATCGAACACTACAAACTAATCGGTAATCTTAAAGACGAACTACTACTGTGGATTATAATTACTATTATTATTATTGTCTATTTAATGTCATCTCCTTATATTTGTTAGTTTATTTGTGAACTACTTATTGCAAATAAAAATGTCTTCAGTTAACGACGCAAGTCTTCCACAAGTGACATCCGTGAGGCCCATTAATATTTGTTTTTCTCCGTTTAGGGTCACTGACTCACAAAGTTTGTTTACTAGATTTAATACTTACCTTTTGGCCAACCTCATTTGTTCACGATGAGACTAATTCGGCTATACTTTCTTACTGCTTCCACGCAAAGTTGCAGACAATGTAAGAGTGCTCCTGAATAAACCGGATGCTGAAATGCCATACGAGGTATTGAAACAGGGCGTAATAAAATCTATCTGGTTAACAAACAAACGAGCGATTTAACTGCTTCTAATCGAAGTGCAATTAAGTGACTGTACGCCATGACAGCTGAGAAATTACATGAGAAGCAATATAGGAGACAGAAGGATAGACAGAAGCATATTTTATCAGTTATAGCTTCTCCGACTCCCTCCGAATGTTCAGAAGATCCTTGTAGTTACAGACAGCGATGCCGATATAGATCACATAGCAGAAATAGCCCATAACATTTACTAAAGAACAAAAACACCGAGTCCACAGGTGCATTACACAGCAAAATATGAAATCGAAGGGTTAGTATTTGACGCCGAAAGGTGATGAAGTTTACAGAGAACGACAGATCCCACAAATGGTGACGAATCAGATCGAGTGACGAAAGCCGATCACGTTCTAAGGGACGATCAGGTCCCGCGACATGCTGGTATCACCAGTCGTACGGTGGCATTGCTCGGAAATGTGGTTTACCGTGCACATTAAAAGTTAATACAGTAGGGTAAAAATCTTATCCGTTGCCGGTAACGGCTGCGACAACTGGCGCAGCTCCAAAAAACAGTCGTTTATTTTACATTCCGTACAGACTAACTAGTGTTCAATTTTTGGTAAACACAAGAGCCGAAATAAGCATCGTATCGCCCTGAACAACGAAGGACGAAATATAGATACGGCTCTTCCGAAATAAAAACATATGACGAGTAAAAAATAGGTTTGAAATTTTGTCAAAACATTTCGTTTCGCTGGGAGTTTGTTCTAGCGGACTCATCCGTGTCTATAATTGGCATTGATTACTTAGAGAATTTCGACTTATCAATGAACCTTCACGAAACCGGCTCTTTAACAGAGACCGTACAGTGGTGATAAGAGGAGTAATCAATTATCAAGTGTCTATCAATTTAGTAGTATCGAGAGAGATAAATTGCTCCTGAACGAATACGCTGACTTGACGAAGTTACCATTTGATAGCTTGCAACATTGCATTCTAACGAGAGGCACACCTTATAGCTCAAGAGCACGACAAGACCGGAAATGGTTAAACACAAATTCGACAAAATCATAAAACTTGGTATAATACGGCCATCTGGTAGTCCATGAGTATCTCTGTTACACATGGTTCAACAAAGAACAGGTAATACATACCATGTAGAGATAACAGAGCAGTCTTTGCGAACGTCTTTCGAAATAACTAATGCGTCTCAAAACTTGCAGAGATTCATCAACCAGGTTGTTAGTGGTTTGCCAGGCGAACATGCTTACATCGACGACATACTGTAGCGAGTGCTACAGCGGAAGAAAATGTGGAACGACTAAGACAGTTGTTCAATAGACTATATGAAAATGGTATTGCCATCAACGTTGAGAATTGTGAATTTGGAAGAAATCACTGCAGTCTCCAGGACACTTGTCACCAGACGCCATACAGGCATTCGGGAACGCTTAGTACGTTCTGATGGAAAGGATAATGTTGGTACGACGAAAATGCGAAGCTCCACTAGCCATCATGACCGATACGTCAAGAATCGCTGTTGGAGCCATGTTACGGCAGTTCAAAAACGGTACTTGAGAACAGATTTCAATCTCTTCTAGGAGATTAAGCCCCACTCGGAAGAGAACTGCTAGCAATTTACTTGGTAGTAAGGCATTTTTGACATGCGCTCGAGGGAAACATCTTCACAGTGTACAGGGATCATAATCCCCTCACAAAAGCACTAAACGCCAAACAGGATAATTATTAGCGTTTGTTTGACCAAGCGTGATTGCCCGTTGCTTACGGCCTACACTCATATTTATTCTACTCACATTAATTTCGGTGGCTTCAATAAGTAGATGACTTACTAATTTTACTATTCATACATTTGTACATTTAAAAGCTGTTCATTTATTCGCTCGCTCAACTGCTTGCTCTTCGGGATTTGCATATCATATTCCCTATCACTGCTGTTTTCCGATCTCTGCACGATGTAAATGAACGTCAAAGCAAGATTCGTAATTGTCTTCAGATGGTTAACCACCAACAGTCACACAGAGGCGCTGAGAAGTGAGTTTCAGAATATATCGATTGATAATCCACTGCCACAAATTTAGGAAGACTACTCAGTTCTCAGGAGATGTGTGTGCGGAAATACACGTCGTACCACTTGTTACCAATGAAATGCGAAATATTAATACGGCATCAACGCCTGAGGCAGCAGATTATTCCAACATAAATTACCAAGTAGGAAATATGTGCTCGATGGTCGCGTGACAGCTGACCGTGTTTTGACATGGAGATGTAGCCGTAAAAGTGTATTGGCCAAGTATATATAACATCCTAAAAATATAACGTTCTGGGAACAGTTTTATGATTTGCGGTGTATAACATGTTAAGTGCTAAACGCTTAACGCTGTATGCTTGTGCGTGAAACAAACATTGGAAAAGGAAGTCTATTTGGTTGCCGAAAATCATAAACAAATACTCGTTTAGATATATGGATTCACGTCTATAGGAAAGTAAGCTGATTATTAACAGGTGATAAACGCTCCTTTCAAGCGACAATTTCGACTGGTCGACAAATCGCCTTCTCATTCGGGTAATTCTTATTGGCTCAGTGTACCACCTTTTGCTCTTGGAAACAAATGCATCTTCCACGGCTGAAGTATATATTTTAAATCGAAACCATAACAAGATTATTCAAACGTTAGTATTATTCAAATAATCACAACTACACAGCAAAAACATAGGTCAATCATTATAAGCGAACATTAAAGTGTTGGTGCAAATTTACAAATACAAATTGATACACAACGGGTTGACAGAATAGGAATTACAATTAAACGAATGACGAAGTTTGATGGGAATAGTTATTTAACGTTTATGCACCAGTGAACGGTTAGTCACCATCAACAGAACCAATCAGTCGCTATTCGTTATTCAGTGGAACATTTTCATTTAACCACTGAATAACAACTTGAGAATAGCTCTCAGTCCACTTCACGTTCTGTTTGTATTTCTGAAGTAAATCATTGATCTTTGCTTTCAGTTCAACATCTGTCTGATAGTCAGCTTGTCTCGTTAGCTCCTGTCAAGAAAAATAATCAGTTTGTATGCTCACAAGTGAAGGCAGTACACAAAATATTATCAGTTTCATTTTGAGTTGAGAAATGGTGGAAACTAGTCAGTATGAACAGTCTGTAATATTACAAAATAATGTGTGTTTGGTTTTTGTGAAAATGGTTTGGAGTAGACTTTGACAATTTTGTGTGCAATGTAACATTAATTGGTTTCTGTAAAATATCTGGAACCATAGCATATGACTGACTGACTGCTTTGTCGTACACACGAAAATTGTGACTCAGTCTCCGTAAATTTATCAAAGTAAATCTCTTCAATTATCAAATGTGTGCTTGAGGGTGACATTACAGCTGACCATGTTTCGACAAGTATATAAAGCAGTGAACGAGTACTGTACAAGAAAATGTAAAATCCTGGAAACATAACGTGGACAGAATGATTTTTCCGTGATTTGCAGTATGGAACACGAAAAGTGGTAAGCGCTCAACACTGGATGCTTGGGCGTGAAACAATCACTGGAAAAGTTAGTCTATTTGGTTGCCGAAAATCATAAACGAATATTCGTGTACATATATGGATTTATCTCCTTAGAAAAGGAAGCTGCTTCCTCACCGATGATATGCACTCTTTCATTACGAAATTTTCTTACTGACTAACTGCGTTTGATGAATCTGTCTAAAACGAAACCTAACTTTTGCACATTCCATCAGTAATTTTAAATCACTTTGTATTACTTCTCCTATTATTATTGAATAAACTTTCCATACCTAGCTACGAATATTTGTATATAAACGGTATTTCACTATTCAGTACTTCTAATTCGTAACATGTAGAAATATAAAACGAATGCAAGCAATTTATGTTTGTCTCGGGCAAATAAAACAAAGGATCTACAAACCTTTTCTTGATCCAACTCATTATACGCTGCGTAAGGATGTTCGTTTAAGGCGTCTAGTATAGATTTTTTGAAATTTCTGAAATGAAAATTGAGAGTACAAAATGTTTTTCGGTAGACTCCGCCAACAAATAATGTCTATGTAGAATGACCGGAAACTGCTTGGAGAGTCAGCAGATGGTCTTCTAGATATTTATTCTAACTCAACCAAAATTCTTATTCCTAAACAAAGAAGTGGTTTCAATAAATAGTTTGGAGTTGATTGGTAAAACGTCATATTGAGTTTGTTTCAAGGCCAAACAATGCATGAATTCACCTTTCAGTGAATAAATTCTACTATAAGTCCTAGATTACTGAGATAAGGGTAACCACAGCACAATTTATTCACTGCAAAACTAAATCACAAAGAAAGGAAATGTATTGATCGAAAATGAGCACATAAATTGGTAAACACCAAAATCAGCCTTCAACTGAACGTTATACAAGTCGAAATGGTGCATGATCCACGCAGTATACTGGTTTCCACACCAGCCTATCCGAAATAATGTCTTTCTCAATGTTGTGGCTCCGATGGCATATGAGTAAACATTCAAGGTGATCAATGGTAACGATGAACAATAAACTTTTAAAGATTCTAACTCACTAACTTCCATCTCTAGGTGTTGATCTTTAATCAATCAACTCCATGTCTTACATATAATGAAAATTCATCAGTAAAACACAAAATACCAATACACTACAAGTAGTCAGTATGTATATATATAAAACGTTTGAATATCACTTGCTTAGTCTAACTGTGAAGTTAAACTCACTGATGTATCGTTAAATTACTCATTTCACTAAGATAGTCCCACAAAAGCATATTGCCGACCGGAGATTCAGCGAAGAAGTCAAGGTGTTGCCAGAATTCCATGTTTTCTCTTAACCAGCTCAAGTACCTATTAAAGAGATGGAGGAAATGTTCAGTAGATTGCAGTGAGCTGATCAGTTCTTATGAATATTTGCTTTGTTGAAAAGCTAATGAGTAGGATGGTCAGGAATGGTGTATGATAGAAAAGACTTGTATCTCAAGTGATTGTCCGTGAGTGGGGCTACATTGACTGAGATGTTTTAGTTTAAATGTTTTGAATGTTAGTTAACCCGTGTTAGAAATGAAAGTGAATTGTGACATTTTTCCATTCTTAATTGAATGCATTGTTAATGACTAATTTTTCGTTGCTTAGTTCTATTCAAAGAATGAAAAGGCTTGAGCTGTAGTATTCGTCTTGCCTACGTTCGTAACGATTGTCAAGATGATATGTTGGACGACGTGGAGTAACTGCATTTATTTCGTGAAGTATACTGTTCAGTCCTAACTTCGAGTCGTTAATGTTGTGATGAGTGAAATAATAACAATGGAAGAAATTGGTAATAAATGATATCAACATGTGCATGAATATGGTAATTAGTGATCAGGGATTAGTAACAAGTCAATAGGAGACAACTGATTTGGCCGTCGTATAAAGTGAAGTCAGTTCATACACCATGATTCGATTCCGTAGAAGAAGTCGACAGATGAAAGGAATACAGTCGATCTAACAGAACTCTGAAGAATATTTCGTTACTTCCAAACGACTACCATTATCAATCTAGTTTCTCAAAGTTTAAGTGTTCTACTACACAATCATGTTATTATTTTTGATAGAATCATGCTCCTGGTTTGAAGCCTAGACGATACGTTTGCATGAACAACGTAGTTACCGAAGATACTCATTGAAACAACGAAATACCGAGTCCCCACATTGTGAGCTGTGCTGTCGATAATTTCACCATAAAAGATGAGGTCGACAGGAAACCAACTCTCAGAATTAATTGCACAATCAAACACCAATGAGGCAACAACGACTGCGACAACATAAAATTCACGATAAACGGAGGAATTGAACAACAAATCGTTTTCTGGAAGATGTTGATCACTAAGATAAA